TTGAGGATCGAACCCAGTGCCTCACACATGCTAGGCGAGCGCTCTACCACTGAGCCACAACCCCAGCCCCAAAATATGGCATATTTCACCCCTCCAAACCTTCACTCATTCTTTTCTCTCAATAGTTTTTCTCCTCTGTTTACATCAATTAAATGTTACCTCCTCTTTTAAGACTATCTCCATCATCAGACAAAGTTGGACTCTTGCTTTTGTGTACCTACACACACTATGCAAACACTTCTATTTCATGACCCACTGCTAATTAGGGTTCATATATCAGCCATGATGAAGCACAGGCTCCTTGCAGGGTGGAGTCTTCTCATCTCCAGAGCTCAGCATAGAGTTTTGGACATAAAGAAGCATTCAAGTACTTACTGAATAATGTGCTGCGAGGAAACAGTACTCAGTTAATGGAACTGCCAAGCTGTCCATAAGCTGCAAAGGTCTGGTACTTTTTGACATTCCTACTATTCTGAAGTCCTTTCCTCCACCCTTGCCCACCCACTTCTAAGGCTTCCAGTCTTTTGACATATGTGAACTAATTCTTTAAAGATATTAAAACATTAGTTGAGACTTTCTCAGAGGCGGCAAAAATGATGGGCAGCAATTTGGTCACTTTGAGGCAAAGATTCCCTACTCCTAAGAGTCTGGATCAGAAAGAGAAACACGTAGAGATAACATACAGCACCTGGACACCCTAATGGTCCCCCTCCTACTGACTTTGCTCCTCAGAGCCTCACACTCTAGAGTTACACTTCCAGTACCTCTGCTGACCAACTTGGCTGGGCCACCTCACTCTGAAGCAACTTCCTGGGGTGAGGTAAATAAGTAAAGATTTCAGAAAGGCTGCCAACTCCACACTTTGAAATCAAATCAAACTCTTCAACCAGTCATCAAAAGCCCTCCACAAAAATTTTCCACACTCTGTGAGGGACAGCTTTGGAGCAGGGAGTAATTCCTTGGGCCTGTGCTCATCTCATTAAGGGGACTTTGAAAAATTTACTGGAATCTTCTCTTACCAACAGGCACCGGATGATAATATATTCGAGAATTCTCTGCAGGTGTGACTCTTCAGTAAATCACTATTAAATGTTAAAATTGTAATAGTAATAAACCCAAGGCAATGAGGGAAAACTCACAATCTTGCTCTATCCTTGCTATCCAAAGTCATTTCCTACTATTCTGTTCATCAACAATAGATCCCCATAACACCAAGATTTGATGAAAAATCCCACACAGTTTCTAAGGGCTTTCAAAGCCCATAATCAGCTGCATGAGTTTTTTCCCCATTGCTAAAGAACCGTAAGACCAATCCTGTCTTCCTCTCCTCTGGGAAACTGCCACTGACCCCTGTTCCTCAGTGTTCTACTCCACCATCACATTCTCCCACCCCTGGCTGGCTATAGATTAGATAGAAATCATCCCCCTTTCCTTCCAGGTCCTAAGGATGTATCCCCTGCTGCCTGTCCCACTTTCTAAAAAGGTTTTTTACTAAAGACAACTATGGAGAAAGAATCAGGGAAAGTAAAAAATGGCAAACACAAAGGAGGCACAATGCAAAAATTCAGTCCTCTTACTTGAAGTAAACAAAAAACACACAACCTGGAAGAAGATCCCTTTTCTAACCAAACAGCCCGAAGATTAAACTCTAGGCAGAATATTAAAGTAATTTTACATCTCAAGACAAAGGTTTTGGGAACAAGAGATCTGTTCTACACACCACCACTATCCATTTTTTAAATGGACATTTTATACTAGTTTTCAATTCGTAGAAAACTAGCAAAGATAGTAGAGTACCCAAACACTCCATATCCAGTTTCCCTTACTATCTTATGTTAGTGTCATGCATTTGTCATAATTAATGAACCAATATTTATACATTAACTAAAGTCCAAACTTTACTCAGATTTCCTTGGTCTTTCCCTGATGACCTTTTTCTACTTCAGAATCCCACCCGGGACAGCACATTACATTTAGTTGCCATGTCTCCTTAGGCTACTCTTGGTAGTGAGTGTTAAGACTCTTCTCATTTTCATGACCTGGACAGTTCTGAAAAAATACCACTAACACATTTTTCACAGCCCTCTTTCCAACAGAGCTACATATTTCTTCACTTTCACCTCTAGTTTACCAATCTTTCCTTCTCAGAATGTCTCCTAAAATTCTTTGTCCATAACAGCAGCCTGGCATTTTATAAGCAGCACCATAGGACTCTGGTGAAGGAGCCCCCAGGGCCCATTCAAAGAATCTGCAGAGTCAAAAATTCCAAAATAGTATTAAGACATTCTCTTTGAAGCTTATTCTTTTACCTGTAGAGTTTTCACAAGTCCATATCATATATCATATGTGATGGCATCATCACTGATGGCTAATGGAATGTGTGCATGTGTATTCTAGCATTTTCTAGAATTTTCTAAGGCAGCAAGTTTAGGACATAAATGTGCATATTTAGAGATTTAACTCAATTCATTCTCAGTATTTCTATTGTACTCCTATTCTGCAAAGATGGATTTTTTTTCATATACTTCAAACATATTACAACAGATTGAAAGAAAAGAGAAAAAAAAAAGGGATGAGAATCCAGCTATCTTCTACTGAGTGAAATGTTAAAGAGTGTTTAAAAAATATAAAATAATATTCTCTTCACTAATTTTCTTTTGAAGGCTTTTTAAAGATTTGTTCTAATTAGTTATACATGATAGCAGAATGCATTTCGATTCATTGCACACAAATTGTGCACAACTTTTCATTTCTCTAGTTGTACAAGATGTAGAGTCATACCACACCTGCAGTCATACATGTACCTAGAGTAATGATGTTCACCTCATTCCATCATCGTTCCTGCCCCCTCCCCTTGAAGGCTTTTTAAATATAAAAATGTTATTTATGAGCTGGGGTTGTGGCTCAAGTGGTAGCGCGCTCGCCTGGCATGCACAGGGCGCTGGGTTTGATCCTCAGCACCACATAAAAATAAAGATGTTGTGTCCACTGAAAACTAAAAAATAAATATTAAAAAAAATTCTCTCTCTCTCTCTCTCTCTCTCTCTCCCTTTAAAAAAATGTTATTTATGTTAAGGTGACTTTTAAATAACTTAACAGTTTATTTCTCAGTTTTAATTTCAGCCATGATAAATGTCAATAGATATAACTAATATAAACAATAGTAGGTTTTTTTTGGTCTTCAATGATTTTTTTAAAAATGGTACTGGGGATGGAATCCAGGGCTTTGAACATGTTAGATAAATGCTCTACCATGCTGCTACATCTCTAGCCCTTGTTATTTTAATGCAGCTAGAGCTAGGGCCCAGACTGGTTTTAAATTTGCAATCCTTTTGCCTAAGTCCCACCTGGGATTACAGGGGTGTACTACCACACCTGGCTTCAAAAGTATTAAAAGGTCCTAACCAAAAAGTCTTGAGAATTATTAGCCTTAAATCTTCCTTCCATTTTTCAAGGCCTTCCTCAAATGTCTACCTGCTTCCTCCATTCACTCTAGTTTTCTACAAGTTTAGAGAAGAAAAGGGTTAAGTGATACTTTTAGCCTTTTTAAATAGTTTTGTTTATTAAAGCCCTGTCTTTCCAATAGAACATCAATAAACCCTAGGAGCGTATTTCTTGTTAAATGATGAAAATGGAATTTTGCAGTTTTGATTATGTACATTTAAATGACAATATGACATAAAATATTTTCTTAATCAGTTTGGTAAAATTGGTTCTGAGATTAGGACCTATTATGAACAGTTTGTCTCATTTGACATTTTCACCAGGCTTTGTGGATGTTTAACTGCAGGAATTTAACATAGAGTATATATATTTGTTAGTCTGTCTATTGATTTTTATGTCCACTAATCACATTTACCAATGTAATGTCTTAGATTTCTCCTAAAGTTGTATAAGAATTTTTAAAACCAAGCATGGTGGCTTGGCTTGTAACTCCACAACTCAAAAAAGAGGCATATGCTGGAGGGTGACAAATTTAAGGTCAGCCTGCCCAACTTAGCAAGACCTCTCAAAATAAATAGGGCTGGGGATGTAGCTCAGTGGTAATGCACAACCAGGTTGGATTCCCAGTATCACCAAGAAAGAAAAAAAAAACTTTTATAAAATCAACTTTTCTTAAGAGCTAATTATTTACCTCCTTAACATAATTATTTGCCTCCTAACATAAGTTAAGACCAAGTCTAAAGGTCCAATAAGATTAACAGGTAATCTTTTGAATGAAACAAATGTTCTGTGTTAGCATGCAAAGGACAATTATATAGTTAAAACTGCTGGATTTCTTCACAACCTTAATTTGAGGAACACAAATCCCAATGTAATTGCTTTTGCTCTCAAGCAATCCTCAATAATGCGGCACAAATCTTTTCACCCATCTAATGAATGTAACATCAAAAGGAGCAGCCTGAAAATCAGAAAACAGATGTGAAATAAAGGTATAAGTTTGCTATTCTACAGAAAAAAAACTTAAACGTTAACACTGAAAATTCACAACCGTTTTACAGTATGTAGTATACACTTCCGTATCAGCGTCGGAGGAGGGAGGGTCTGTCCGCATTCCATACCACTTCCAAAACAAGAAATCACAGAACTGGGATAACCACATTTATCAAATTAAGAAAAAGCTTCCTAAAGCAACCTTCTGTCTAGCTTTCTATGAATTGGGCTGACTCACTTGGCCTGTGAAAAACAAGATCGTGTTCGTTTCCCCTCAAGTGTCAGTGTCTGTAAAGGGAATTATATGCAAATATATGCTACAGAGACTCAAAGGCAAGGTAGGGAACTAAAGACAGAGCCCAGACCACCCAGGGCCACCAGCGGGAGCCCTAGCCGCTCTCCGCTGTCTCTTCCCACTACCACACCCCGGGAGCCCGACTGCGGTTCCCCCGTCTGGAAGTCGTCGGGGTCCCGCCCCTCTAACTGCCTGAGTGACTTCTCCCAGCGTTCCGAGAGAACTAGGCCGGGTGACCAAGGCAGGTTACGCCAGCACGACCACCACTCACCTTGCTGGGTCCCCAGGCCGCTGCCCTCCCGGGCTCAGGTGATGCTACTTCGACCAGATCCATTGGGGGAAGAAAGCAGCAAGAACAGAGCAGAGAGGTGGCAGGGCGGGAAGCAGGTTTTGCGGAGGAGAGAGATGGCAGGACGGGAAACAGGCTCTACTAAGGAGAGAGTGGCAGGACAGGAAGCAGGCTCTGCTAAGGAGACAAGCGGGGCGGCGGCGACTTGCGGCTGGTGCCGGAGTTAGGGTGACAGATGGCGGCGGCTGCCGCCGCGTCCGGAACTAGACTTCTTCTCTTCCGTCTTGACCGCAGGAGCATTCGCTTCCGATTGGTCGTCCTCCCCTGGCTCCTCCTTAATTCACCTTGCCCCGCCCCCTGGAGGACGCACTTCCGGCCGCTGCCTGCTGGACCTGGGGCCTCCTGGATGGGCTCCCAGTGGCAGCGGGTCTTCCTAGCTGCGGCCTGTTCGGGCGGGGCTGCGTATGGCTTCCTCTAGTCCAGGGTTTGCCCTGTCCAGGCACCGCCTTCCCCTAACTTCCTTCCTGGTTGCTCTAGATAGTCACCGAGTAATTAAACTAGACAGACTGTGTGGAGTATAAATAAACAAACGAAGCTGTCTCTGTTCGTTCGTAAATTCTCAGCGTAATTCTAAACTGGGATGGATTGGGAGACAGAAAATGGCAGATTTAGAGAGAGAAAAGGGACTGAAGACGACTCTCAGATTTGGTTATTAGTGCAGTTATTGTTTGTGGACAGGATGTGGAAAGCGAAAATTTGTAACTTGTATTACACTGAGCAAAAATACGATTGCATAATAAAAGTTTTGATTCTGTATTTTGTAAGGAAATCTTCACAAAATGACTGGATAAAAGTTCTGCATGTCACTATATTCATGTATCCTTCAAAGTATTTTAACTCCTTAGTCCTTGACACCCAGGGATAAATTCTATCCTTATCTCCAATTTTACTGATAATGAAACTGAGGCACTTAGAGGTAAAGTAACTTGCAGGAAATCATACAGCTAATAAATAGCAGAACTAATTAGTGTTGGACCAGGCAGTCTGGGTTCAAGAACCGGTTCTATATTGTCTACAAAATGACTATCCAGATAGTCTAGAAATACATATTGAATAACAGGTTTCCTTAAATCTCACTTCTGAGTCGAATCCCTTTCTTGAGAGCCCTAATGTTAATGATTCATTAGCACACAGTCCCTGCTTCCTTCCCATTCCAGGACAGAACATGTTCTGAATCTCCAAAACACTCCAAATAAAATAAAGAAAAGTTGTAGGTACATAACAGGATACAAACATATGCTTGGTAGGTGTTGCTCATGTATATGGGTGTGTGTGGAAATTGTGTCCCTATTTAGTATTCAAAAGGTTATAATTAGGGTACAAATAGTTGAGGGAAAATGGTGTATGAATGAAACAGACCTCTCAGTTCTGAATAAGAAAGAAATAGGAGAGAGATAAGCCAAGAGAAGTTATTGGAGCTGCCTATTAAATTAACAAAGAATTTATAAAGAAAATATTAAAAGGAAAAGTACAAACCAGAAAGAAAAGTTGAGAAGCAATGCATGACAAAAATGTACTGGTGAAGGGGACATAGCAGAAAAGGACATGAAATTGGAAATAAAGCTAAAAATCTGATTATTTTTAGATAATTTACTCAAATTTCCATTGAGTGTTTGCCTAAGTCCTTAGCAATGGAGAAACTACTATATATAAAATAGGTGTCTGCCCTCTTGTACCTTAAGGTCCTGAACATAAGTACAATTAAGTGTCAAAGATGCCAAATAGAAGAAAGTGCAGGGCTGTTGCAAGTGGTGCTATTAATAATTACTCAGAGGCAGATTGTCTTTAAATGCAAGTGTATATTGGATCACACCAATCATTAAATATAAACAATGCAAAAAGTGTTGGGTGTGCTGGAGCACCCCAACCAGTGTTCAGTGCACACTAATTAAACATTATAAGCGAATCACACAATCATAGGGCAACCACGAGTCCCAAAATACCTCCAATGCCACGTGGCTTCTCTTAGCCAAACAGCAGATGTTGTCCTTGTCTGGTGGTTCTCTCTAGCTGATGGCTGGACATATGGGAATGGAGGAGTAGTCCAGGGACAGAAAGAAAGGTGGCCAATATCACTGATCTCCTTGGAGCAAAACTCTTCAATGTGGCAGGACCAGCAATTTAAATATAGTTCCAAGTTGGTGGTGTACGTTGGTGATTGGTTATACCCAGTGAAAATCAATGTCCATTGGTTATGACCAGGGAGGTGATGTAATTGCAGCTGGGCGTGTTCTTTTTGCATGTCCGTGGAGCTATGCTCCCTATCAATTGTAACCAGTCATTGCTAAGCATACCTATGGCTAGTGCCCCTCACAGCTCCTTATCAATTGCAAGCAGACATGACTAAGCAGTTGATGGCTGCTGTTCCTTATGGCCAGCAATTTAGTGAGTCCTAGAATGTGTCAGCATGGCGGATGCTCCTTACAAGGGCTCATTGCAGATGTAAAAGATGAAGGTCAGAACTACCCAGATATTCAGGAAAGTTTGCTTAGAGATGGCACTTGAGCTCAGCTTTAGAAAATGATCTCACATTAGTGAGATAAGCTTTAGGGTGGAGCAAAGGCTTCCACACAAAAGAGAGTTGTATACAGGACACATCAGAAAAGACTAGTGGTTTGGCATGGCCAGACCTAGGGTACAACAGGGACAGAGGAAAAGATTGGTTTGAGGAATGCATATAAAGTCCAGGTCCAATGCATATAAAGTCTGGTTTTAATTCTAGGGACTTCAGAGCTAAGTTCAAAAAAGAGTCATTAAGAGGGGAAAGTAGCTGGGCACTGTAGGGTGCACCGATAGTCCCTGCTGCTTGGGAGGCTGAGGCAGGAGGATTGCTTGAGCCCAAGAGTTCAAGTTCAGCTTGGGCAATATCTTAGGGGAAAAAAAGAAAAGAATGGTTTTCAGGTTTATTTACTAAAAAGATATTTCTGGCAGCTGTGTGAAGGTGTATTGGAGCAGGTTAGGCTGGAGACTGGAAAATCTGATAGGTAATTAATGAGGAGGGTTGCCTGGATTTCCCTTGATATTTTTCTTTAAATGTGTTAATACATTTTGTGTAATTTCAGGTCTCATAAACTTCTAACAATTTCTTTTAGGTGACTTTGAATATTCCAACTCTGATCTCATTTATCTTATTTCCAATATTTTAGTTTTGGGTTTAGATGCTGAGGGGGGTGTAATGTTTAAGAACTTTAGAGGTTGAACAGTTGAGGGTTATTTGCAAGTAAGAGGAAGGCATGGTGAAGCAGCAGAGAGGTGAAGGTTGGAACCAGGATAAAATATTACAATATTGGAGAGGTGGTCCACATAGACCTTGGAATCACCCAGCAAGATGGCAGATTTTGGGATAGAGTGGAAGAATTTGTGCAGGTGCCAGAGTCCTCAGAAAAGATGCAGGCTATATCCCAGAGGCTGGTAGATGATGCTGATCAGAAGTTTGGAGAGCCTAACAGAATGTTCAGAGACTTGAGAAGAGACCTGTTTAACTCAGAGGGCAGGAGGAGTGGTTCTCCAGCTGTGCTGGAGAGAGAATCCTGCTCCTATTCTCTGCTCTGCACCAGAGAAAGGAATAGTCTCAGAGGACATTCGAGTTTTACTTGAGCCAGGAACTAAGAAAGCAGGCTGTGGGAACAAAGATAATTGATTCATCATGGGATGGGGTTTCCACAGGTTTTTGTGGGTTAGCAATTTTAATGTTTGTATGTCAGCAGTTAAGGTACATGCCTGATGTCACTAACTAACCACATGCTCCCTTAAAAAGAAGATATGTGAACATTTAAAATATTTACAAAATTTGCCTTTTACATTTACAAATATTAATAGGAAAAGTGTGATTTTGTGATTTCATTGTGAGTCCTTGAATAGCCATTTTAATGTGAAGTGGAGTAAGCGCAATGTTCAAAGGGTTTGATTCCAGCTTTTACACCTGTCATCACTGCTGATGAAATCACTAGTGCTTAGCAGAAACAAAACTATTCGAGAATTTACACTGCTGAAACACAGGAAATCAGCAGATTCTTTGGTCTCTAAAGAGAACAGAAAGAAGTCTCTTTAGTCTTTCATATTGAAATTAATCACATGTATTTTATAAGTAGCTGCCCCAGGTACTTAACAGATGTTTATCAACTGCCTAGGATATCCTTAAAGTCTTGTGGGAGAATCAAAGAATTATGAAATTCTGGAGAGAGAATATATTCACACAACAGCATTAAATAATGGAGCACTTCTTTCTCAAAAGAGTGCATGATTTATCACATCTATGGACAATATAGACAAATATGGACAATTATCATTTCAGGATTCATTATGGGTGAGTGGGTGATCTGAAAAGGCTGTGTGGAGAAAGTACCACCAAACTAGGCCACAAAGGTTGGGGAGACAAGAAAAGGCTAGTGTAGGTGGAAAAACAGCATAATACTGGGCACAAAAGCAAGGAAGTCCAGAGCATATTTAGTGACTACTGAATATTTTCATAAGGATACTAGAGTGGAATGTTATGGATATGGCTTAGTTAGGTTCAAATGGGACTCAGTTGTTCTTATGTCTATCCAATCCACTGCCACTTTTTTAATAGCAAATATTTTGTTTTTCTCCCTTTAGCATATAATTGATATATAGATACATACATATATATATGTGTGTGTGTGTATATGTATATATATATATATATATATATACATACACACACACACACACACATATATATATATATATATATATATATATATATATATGTATGTATGTATTTTTATGGTACTGGGTATTGAAACCATGAATGTTCTATCTCTGAGCTACACCCCCAGCCCCATTTTAAATTTGTTTTTATTTTGAGACAGAGTTTCACTAAGTTGCCTAGCCTGGCCTCAAGCTTACAATCCTCCTGCCTCAGCCTCCCAAGTCACTGGGATTATAGGTGTGTGCCACCACGACCAGCTGCATGATCTTTTAAAATTGATATATGATGCTCTGACTACAAAGGATAAATAAAACAATTGTTAATTTATATATATTTGGTTCTAATTACATGGGATATCTAAAATAGTCAACTTTTTAGAAACAATAGGTAAAATGATGGTTGCCAGGGGCCCTGGGAGGGAGAAAGGGGAAATCAATGGGTATAGAGTTTCAGTTTTGAAAGTGAAAAGGTTCTAGAGATTTGTTGTTCAACAGTGTATACAGGGTATAGCATTTAAGGATACAGAGTAACACTATGACACTG